GGTGCCTTAAGTGTCCCCCGAGATCCGCAGGCAGGATGTCGGTGTCGGGCTGGGGAAGAAGAGGAGGCAAAGGCTCCTGCACCGCACCTGTCAGAGGCTTGGGAAGGCAAGGGGTGGGTTAGTCAGGCGGGAGGTGGCTCAGCAGCATGAAATAAAACACGTCCCTTTCCAGACCCTCCCGAATGCATCCAGTTAATACAGATAATGAAGCAGGTGCTGTAGCAAGAGCCTCTCTTTAGAGCCAGAGCGTTCTAGAGGCAAACCGAACAGGGGTGCCAGGTCACAGGTCTGGGTTTGTTTCACTGGCTTTTGCCCAAGCCCTGCTTTACACTGAGAGAATTGTTAGACCTCACTTTCACAGCCCGTGGGATCTGCTGCCAGTGTATTCTGAAGAAGCATCTGGAAATAAAATCATGCTGATATACCTGACACCACAGTGGGCTTCGGCAAAGCTAAGAGATTTTTTTAAACTGGTTGCTTTCAAGTTAGATTTTCACTACAATAATATTATGCTTAATCTTTTCAATACTTTCTTTTTATTTTTTACCCCACAAACAAATTTCATTGGGGGAGGGAGCAGCACACAAGAATTATTCTTCTGGGTCCTTTGTTCTAGCTATTTAATAACTTCTCTAATTGCCCTAATTATTGGTTTATAATTTTGTAGACTCGAATTCCTTTCAGAACACTCCTTCTATGCTGTCCTTTCTGATGAGTACTTAGAGGTCTCGCTTCTTTTAATATTCTGCTTTTGCACCCATTTAATTACAGTGATTTTGCTGACTGCCAGAACAGCAAAGCTCATTCCAGCTGCTTTCCTCCATGAAAAGAAATTCCAACAGCCTGATGTAGGACCCAGCCCACCTTCAGCTAGAGACCCACTGACACCATAGGGAAAACATCCTATCACTTGCTCTCTTTCGAGCTCATACGTTTTTTCTGAAGTTCTCCTCCTTGGTCTCTTGTGATCACACTAAAATTGAAACTTTTCAGGAGACTTTTTGCAGATTCAGCAACACAGGTTCTGCATGTCAAACCACTCCTGAATTAGTTGGTCGCAGCCTGTCTTGGCAGAACACAAATATGATGGTTTAATCAAGAAAAACCTGGCAGAATGCCATGAACTGTGAAGCCGGATGAGGGTAAATGGTACCACTCTGACTGCACCAGAGTCAGACCTGCTGAAAAGCAGCCCCAAATTAGGTTTTTGTTGCACCTGTGGTCTGTTCCTGCTCTCACACAATTCAGAGTAAGAACACCAGGAAGATGTCGTAGGAAGGGAAAGACAAATACATGTCTTGAGGGAACCTGACCTCAGTAAGACCAGCAGGCTCAGGTATAAAGAAAACAACCCACGTGTCTCAGTAACATTTCTAGGTGAGGACTGTTTGAGTGCTCACGGGAGCAGAATTTAACCAGTGATATGAAAATAATTGTTTCTGTATTTGTTAGTGGCTCAGCTGCTTTTTCTTATGCTCATGTTCCCAGGCGCTTGTGTCAACAGACAACCACCAGTCTACCCTGTACTCTCTGACTGTCCCATCCAAGTCAGTGTGTCTCCATGAGAATCACTCCTGAGCCCTGTTTTTTAGTGTCCTTTTGAGTATTTCCAGTAGAAGTATCTGCAGCTCCTAAATTTGTATTGCATTCAAATGAGTTTAACTTCCGTTGTTCACTCTTTTTATCTACTTCTTGGGCTCCTGGACCCCCCTACTTCCCCATGTCCTCCATTTAAGAAGTCTGCCCCCACCCAGCCTAATTATCCCTTTTGCCTGTACCTGAAGGGGCACCATTTGCTTTCCTGATCATGAGGCTGGGCAGGATGCACCATCTCTAGCACATGAAAAGATAAACTGCATGTGAAGACTGGTGGCATACAGCTTGTGTGTAACACAGCCTCTGCAAGGAAGGTCACTGGAGACAGCCTTACTGCTCTATCCAGTTCCCTCCATCAGGCACACAGCAGTCCACAGCATCTCTGTAGATGCTTTCACAAGTGCTTCAGCACAGAGTAGAGCTGATGTTTTCATGTCAGTGCTTCTGTAAGTCCTCTGAAGCACACTTCTGCCTTCAGAGCCCTCCTGGAGATCCAGAGAGCAAGCAAGGCACACCAGGCAGAGGTGATGTACCTTCCTCTTATGAACCCTGGCAAAACCCAGGGGGAACAGAGGAAGGTGTATTTGCTTTTATGAGGCACCTTCTCCATGTCAGTGGAGGACCTTGGGGCACATCTCTCTCCATGCTGTCTCTCCAAGGGTACGGCAGTGCTTCCTGCACCTAAGGATGTCCTCACAGCCCTTGAGGGTCTCCAGGTGCCCAGATCCTGCTCAGGAGAACTTGCTCTGCAGAAAAGCATCTCTTTCCC